AGAATGCAACAGGCTCTAAAGTTTACCCAATCTTGGTGTATTAAGGAGGGCCTAAACATTAAGTTCAACCTAAAGGAGTTCTAGAACAGGTCAAATACCTAGGAGTTATATTGGATGCCAAGTTGAATTGGAATGCTCAGATTGATTCTGTGATCAACAAAGCAACCAGTGCCCTGTGGTTATGCTCCAAAAGTGTTGGTAGAAAATGGGGTTTGAAACCTACAATGACAATGTGGATTTACACATCAGTAATCCGTCCAAAAGAAACTTATGCTTCGTTAGTGTGGTGGCCAAAAACGAAAGAGGCTACCGCACAGAGGAAGCTAGCAAAACTACAACGTCTAGCATGTATTGCTATAACGGGTGCAATGCGCAGCACCCCATCAAAAGCGTTAGATGCAATTCTCAATCTACTGTCCTTGCATGAATACTTGCAACTAGAAGCAGAAAGAAGTGCTTTAAGGCTCAAAAGGTCAAAAAAAAAGTCATGCCTTGTGACCTGATGATCACCTAAGTATTTTACAATACTTCCAAAGAGGACCAGTGATGAGTATGAATGGAGACTGGATGAAACCAGAGGACAATTATGACACTCCCTTCAACGTATGTGAAATGTTGCGTTCGGATTGGAAAGTCGGTGGTCCTAGCGTTCGTCAAGGCTCAATCATATTTTTCACAGATGGCTCGAAAATTGGAACACAAACAGGTGCAGGAATCTTTGGCCCTGGGACAAATATTTCAGTTGCGATGGGACATTGTCCAACAGTGTTTCAAGCGGAAATCGTGGCCATACTTGAATGTGTAAGTGTTTGCCTAAGCAGAAAATATAGATGTTCAAATATCTATATTTTTTCTGACAGTCAAGCAGCACTTAAAGCGGTTCGTGCTTACAAATGTAGATCAAACATTGACTGGGAATGTATTCTGTCGCAACAAAGCTGTGCAAACAGAACTCAGTTAACTTATATTGGGTTCCTGGACACTGTGGCATTGAAAGGAATGAAAGGGCAGACGATCTCGCAAAATTAGGTTCCAATTCACCGTTTATTGGCGCAGAACCATACTGTGGAATATCCAACTGTACGGTAAAAATGGACCTCAAACGCTAGGAAGAACAAAGGGTGAAGGCCAACTGGATGGCCGTCACGAAGTGCAACCAGTCGAAAAGATTTATAACTCCAAATGTAACACAACCAAAAAGCTCTTGGAGCTCAATAAACGGGCTCTTAGTATATACACTGGCCTAGTAACTGGTCACTGTCCGAGTAGATATCATTTGAAGAACATGGGTCGGGTTCAGAGCGATATCTGCCGTTTCTGTAGCATAGAACGTGAAACCTCGGAACATCTGCTCTGCAGTTGCGGTGCATTACACAGGCGTAGATCTAAATTTTTTCGTAGTGTTATTCTACAACCTAGTGGAATTTGGTCTGCTAATCCTGGAAAGGTAGTTGGTTTCATAAACCATATCATACCTGACTGGGAAATGACGCAATTAGCTGTCCACTCATTAAATGGTGGTCAGCTTGCATGATACGAACAGTAAACAGGGGTACCACAAAAGTTCAAATAATGGACGCAGTGGTTCAACTCCCCCCCAAAAAAACAAGGGATACTTTTTCAATATGTTTTTTAAACCGGCCGGAGCAAAAAAATACAATGCAATGATGTGTTTCAGGAGTTGCAAAAGGAGAAGTATCTACCACGACCTGAAGATAATATGCTGCAAGCCATGGAGAGGGTCACCGCAAAGTTCCCAAGTAACCAACAAGTCCGCTAATCGCCCTTTTTGTAATATAAGGCTGATGTACGACTGATATAAAGTTATGAAACCCTATATTTACCTTATATCGCAAAAAGGGCGATTATCGGGTAGTTAGCAGGCTTGGTGGTTACGTGGGTTATTCGGTGTACCGAAGAGTACTCCGGAAGACCGAGTGAAAAAACACTACCGGAGCAACAAAAAAGGTGCACCAACTATTCATTCCAACGAAAAAGAGGGAACCATCGTCGGATGGATCATTTTGATGGCCCAGGCTGGATTTTCCGTGAACGAATTTTTTTTTTTTTTTTTTTGATGATGCGGGTCGGAGAAACCGTAAAGAGTCTTGGACAGACGGATTCCTTCAAAGTCGAATTTCCTAGTCGAAGCTGGATTAGGCGGTTTATGAAAGGGCATCTAGGACTGTCCAACTTTCATGCCAATAATTTAACTAAGCGGTGGGTTGTGCGTAAAGCAGACATTCGTCAATGGTTTCAAGCAGTAGGTGCGTACCTCAAGGATAGTAATGTTCTGGATACAATATATGTAGACAAAAGCTCATTTTCTGTGGTACCGAAGAAGCAAAGAGTTAGTGCACCAAAAGGTACGAAAAATGTGCAGACCATTTCTTTCAACAGTTTTGGCTTTAGCTGCGGGAAAACTGGCTCGTCCTCTTATATTGATTCCGTAAAATTCAAGGATTCCAACCAGTGTTGTTAAGAGTATCCCAAGAGGTTGAGGAGTTGGCCGAGCGGGTTCAGTATGGATGAACTCAGTTGCATTTAATGAGTTCATTGTGAATGTATTGTATCCCTAGGCAGTGTTGGAGAAACTACAGTTCCCAATCTTGCTTTTCGTGGATGGACATTAGACTGATGCAAATTTTGACATTTTCGCTCCACAGTGCTCAAACGGTTCCAAATCGAGTCCTGATTAGTCTCCCAAAATTTGAACTCATTTGAAAAGAAACTGACTTGGCACAAACCATTTGAAGTTTATATGGAAATTACTATAGGAAAACCAAATGTTTTGTTCATATCCATCTAACAATTTACCATATCGCTCTGCTTTAAAAAATGATAACTGAGCTCGTAGGAAATTTTCTCAGCTACAACTTTGTCCTGAACCACTTTTCAATATAATGTAAGCATCAAAAGTCATCAATAATTCAACCCACTAATGTCTTACGATTATGCTCAATCAACTGTTCAGCAGGCAACATTGGTGTTCCTGGCGCTTGGAATAGAGCACAAAAATCATGGCTACTATGTCACACTGCAAGATACAGTGTTGCTGACAAAACAGCTGCTTGATCATGCCATAAGATTATCAATCTCTTAAACAATTAATAGCTATTTTATTTGACGTTTGGCTCAACAACTATATTCTGCTAAGTTGAAGCTGAGAAAATTTTCCATAAGTATAGCTTTTGAATTTTTGAACAGTGCCATATGGAAAAGGGTTAGAAGACTATGAACAAAAAGTTTGGATTTCCCATAGTAATTTCCATATAAATTTCAAATGGTTTGTGCCAAGTCAGTTTCTTTTCAAATGAGTTCAAATTTTGGGAGACTAATCAGGACCCAATTTGGAACCTTTTGAGCACTGTGGAGCGAAAATGTCAAAATTTGCATCAGTCTAATGGACATTTGTCCCATGCCTCTTTAGATCATCCTTGTTTCATTACCTCCACACACTTTATGCAACCATTGGATGTGGCGTGGTGATTGAATAACTGACTGTCATAGACTGGATAGAATTCAATTTTGAAATCTGTGTTAGGGAAAGCGCTTTTCCCATGCAATAGGTGATAATTTTAACTGTCATAGCAACAGCTGTACATTCGTGCAATTTTCAATACTGACCTTTTGTTAATTGATAGTATTATTTTTAACAGATTCTTAGAAATTTTTTCTATCGATTGACGCTTTAAGAATTAAAATCCGTCACCTCTGGATCCAACTCAGACAACTTTCATGCTGTGACCGATTTTGGTTTTTGAAATTTCAATACATTACCTTAAAAATACATAGTATGTTAGATTTAAACATATGGGAACTGACATCCGATTGATGAGCTTGAAAAATGTCCAGAAAATATTCTTTATCAAATTTATGATGGTCCTGAAAAGGACCGTTTTGTCGTGATGGTTAAGTATTGCTGAGCTATTATGGTGTTCAACACGGATGAGGCTTGGGAGCTGTATGTTGTTTGGAACGAGGGTGACGCGTTTGGCATAGATGGCCCACAGCGACTCACGAAAATCTACTGAATCCGATCAGTAGCGGTGTGGCTTCTTCCTCCTTCTTCGGACGCTCATGTGGGCTGCAGCTTGCTGCTTGCGGGTAGCCTTTCGTCGTGTTCTGGAGAATAATGTACAACGCCATGCACCGAAAGCACTGCCGCTGCTGCTGCTGATGATGACCTACCAGACACCACTACATACGGTGACTGAATAAGCAGCGTTCAGTGAGACCGGATGGAATTCGATTTTTAAAATCTGTGTTAGGGAAAGCGCTTTTTGCAGGTAATCGGTGGAGTAAAGTCGCAAATCAAAAAATGCCGAACGTAGGGTGGGGCTTATTTCACAAAATCGTTCGGGGACGTGTTTTCCCATGTGGAAAATGATTATTGGGATTAATTAAGAAGCATATCAAAAATTGAGATTTTTTCGTTTGCATTAAGAGGTGTCGAACTTTTCAAATAAATCATAAGCTTCTTTAAAAAAAATGATGTTGTGACCCTAAAGAACGAAAATTTAGACCATTTTACGATATCTGATATATTGTAATTATCCATATGAAAAAACCTGTTCACGAGCGATTTTTAAAAACAAACCCTCCGTAGTAGGACATTCCAAAACAGACCTCTGGGGCAAAATGGCCCCACGCAATATTTCATAGCTTTCCCATTATCAGTCCGTGAATTTATCAAGATTGCTAATGAATTTCACAAGATAAGATGATAGAAAACATTACTTTTAGCAACCTTTCGCAAGTTGACGATACTTGAGGATGTGATATTTGATAAGCTTATTACTTATAAGACACTGGGAACCTGGATTAGAACGAATAAAGCGATAATTCGTGATTTGTGACTTGAGCAGAAGAAAGAATCATCACAACGATAGAAAAGCATTAAAGTGCCACAACTTACCTTCTCCGATTGTTTCAGAAGAATCACAATCACACCATGGGACACATTTCTCAATGGAATAACAAACTCGCAAAAACGGATCTTCATTATTTTAACAGTTACTGTACAACTTTATTTCACATTTTCCAAATCTCTTCTTCTCAGATACTGATACAGGGGGATTAATCACACAAACTTAGGGTATTAATTTATGACATCATAGAATCGACCTATTTACATGCAGTGCGTCCGGCGACCAATAGCCTACTAAATATATTCAACGGCGACGAAAGAAACAAAAATCTCTTCCTCTTCCATGCGAAACGAAAAAAGTTCCGAACATCTCCTAGCTCCTATTTTCACACATTAGAAAATTAATGTACAATGCAATTATAAACATATTACGCATAGAATTGATATGGTGACACGTGACAAAACACATAAACACTCAGTGCGGTCTAGTAGATTCATATACTTTTTTGTTTGTTTTAAGTAAGTTAGCGAGGAGCTGCAGTTCCCCATGCTTCCCATGTCTGACCCGACTCGGAGTCGCGACAGTCGATCCCCAAATCGGGCCACTCCGAACAATGCGGAAGCATGCAGTTCCGGGGGATCCGCAGCTTAACGGACGGGTGCCGAGCTTTCAGCGTGAACCGATGCGAGGGACGGACCTCAGCCAACGCCGGACAACATCTGCTTGGTGTAGTTGGAGAAGAGCAGATGTTTGGAAAAGTTCAATCGCTCCTCGGCCTTCTCGAACGACAGCGGCGGGCTGGATTCTTCGCCTTCGCTGTGACTGTGCCCGGTGCTGCTCGGAGCCCGCGATTGGGATTGTCCTCCCTCGCTGGCCCCTTCCTCGTGCGTTTTCATGTGTGCCTTCAGATTGCAAGCCAGGGCGAACGATTTGTTGCACACTTCGCAGACGTGCGGTTTGTCACCTGTGGTGGAACGGAAAGATAGGAATGTGTTTAGTGTTCGTCCTAGATTTTTTGCTGCTGTTGTTGCGATGAAGCGTGAAGGGAAAAACGGGAATCGCGGGAACAATAACGACATAATAATAAAGGAGGGTAATAATAAATTATAATTTGCTCGAGAGTCGACCTCCCCCCCCCCCCCCCCACCACCACCACCACCGGTTAATCAAAGAAAGGAAGTTATTGATCCGATGGACGGACGGACGGGGAATGGTTTTGCGCAGAGCTCAGAGCCCTAGTTCATGTTTACAAGTGCTAGAACATGATCCACGATGATAAGTTCAATTCATCATCTGCGCCTTTGCTTCGCTCCGGCGGCGGCTAGGAGGCGGGCTGAATTGGATTGTGGACGGATTGTGACAGCCACCGGTCAGCTTCTTGAACCATTGTGTCACTGTTCAATGAAAGGGCGGACGGGCGTCCGCGAGATTCTCATGCTTCTTCGGGTCGGTTGGAATTTATGAGCCAATGATACGGAAAATGATGGTGATTTATAAGTGTTTTATTAATTCCGATGCTTTCTTTTGTCGACCGGTTGTTGCTCGATACGGTGGGAATGATGGGATCTTTGTACTTGGGTACAATTGCCATTGGAATGAGGTTTCGCAGAGAAGAACTACTGTGACCTTCAGTTCGCGAGTGTTCAGTACAAAAAGATGTATTCGAATGACATGTAGTTGGACTGACATAAAATTAATGTTATTTGAACATTAGCAGTAAATCGTAAATTTTGAGACATGTTTGCGATTTGTATTCCTCGGAATTGCGCTGAATATAACAAAATTTGCACTTTAAACTTAGAAAAATATCTAAAACATGGTACTTTTTACACGTGTAAATATTAGAATCCGAGACAGGATTTATTCCACGTTGGATTAGTTTCAATTCGTCAGAATTGAAAAAGTTACAGCGATGTTTCGAATTTCAAGTTTTGTTAAATTCTACCTAAATTAAACGGTCATAGGTCTAAAGGTCTAAAAACAAATTGTCTTGAATTTAAACAATAAAGAGTGTCTATTTAATTGATTCTAACCGATGTGCATGAAATTCCAACCGGGATTATTTGAATTCCAACTGTAATTAATTGCATCCCACTGGAGTTCCATTGAATTTCAACCAGACTCTTACATATACCAACCGGACTTCTTTAAAATGGGCTTCTATTAATCCAAAGTGGCCTCATTGAATTCCAATCAGAACTAATTGCATTCCATTTGTTGAATTTCAACCTGAATTATATGAATTCCAACTGGAATTATAGAAATTTCTACCGGAACTATCAGACATCCAAGTGAGCTTCTTCAAATTCCAACCGGACTTTTAACTGAATTACATTCAAATCCATTCAATTAATAAAAAGATGACAAAGCATTTCAACTCAAATTGAATTTGAATTTATTCCAAGCGGAATTTATTGCATATCAACCGGAATTCATATAATCTCTGGAAGTATTCAATTAAACCCGTCAGGAGTGATTTCTGTAACATGACTTCAATTTCGAATCAGATTTGTGTTACTTAATGCATGAGGTTGGCGATTACAAAGTTTAAGAAAATGTTCTATATCAACATGAAACTTAGCTAGAGAAACGTGTTGACTATCCCACCAGGCTATTCGATCCAAGCGAACTTCTTCAAATTGCAACTTGATTTCTTGGAATTCCAACTATAAATTCAAATCAGTTTTCAAAGAGTTACTACTGGAATTAATTTGAATTCCTTCTTGAATTGATTTAATTAAATTGCAAATTATTGAATATCAACCGGAATTGATTGAAATCCAACTAGAATCATTTGAATTGCATGCAAACTTATTCGACTTCCAACCGGGTTATTCGACTTCCAATCGGGCTTAAACTCTAATTAAATTTCAATGAATCTCAACCAGACTTCATTTAATTCAAATCACACTGCAAATAATTTCAAATTTATTAAATTTCTACCAGAATTTGTTGCATCCCACCCATAGTTATTTCTGTGAATTCCATACAAACTTCAATGCCAACCTGACTTTAGGCGACCGCAATGGCAATTGTTTGAATTCCTACGGAAATTATTTGAAATCCAAGTAAACTTTTTCAAATTTTATCCTGATATCCGGAGTTTTTTGAGTCTTCAATGAATTGCTACAGGAAAAATTCAAATTTCCATTTGAATTGATTAAAATTAACTGAAATTAGCTGCGATTAAAACGGAATAAATTGAACAATAACTGGAATTACTTGAACGGAAACGGAAACTTTCAACCGGACTACTAAGAATTCTAACCAAATTTCATTGAATTCCAACCAAATTTCATTAAATTCAAATCAGACTGCAAGGAATTTCAACCGGAATTCATAAAATCTCTACCAGAATTCATTGAATCCCACCCAGAGTTATTTCTGTGAATTCCAACCAAACTTCAATGCAAGCCTGACTTTAGTGAATCTCCTAATCCTAAAGAAATTGTTTGAGTTGTTAGTGATCTTGTTTTTCAAAATTCATCCTGATTTCTTTGACTTCCAACCGAACTTCTATGAATTCAAACTAGTGTTCAGTGAATTGCTACAGAAAATATTTAAATTTCCATTTGAACTGATTTAAATTAACCGGACTTCCTTCGAAAATGTACCTCTCTAACCTCGAGTAAGCCACGAGTATTCGGCCCAACTCCTACTAGACATAGAACTAAGTGAATTTTGTTACAAACAAAGAACAATAAACTATCGGCTCGGTAAAGCTAACGCGATTGAGCCTACCAAATAAACGAACTAGTTAAAAAAAATTAACCGGACTTAACTGAGATTCTAACGGAATTAATTAAACTACAACTGTAATTTCTTGAATGTAATGCCAACTGTTCCAACTTTCAACCAGACCACTAAAAATACAAACCGGATTTAACTGAATTCCAACCAGACTTCATTCAATTTGAATCCGACAGCAAATAATTTCAACCAGAATGAATAGCATCTCTACCAGAATTCATTGAATCAAATCTGTGAATTCCAACCAAACTTCAATGCAAGCCTGATCTCAACGACAATTCCTACCGCAGTTGCTTGAATTGCTACCGGTATTGCATGAAATTCAAATGAACTTTTTTTTTCAAATTTCAACCTGATATCTTTGAATTCCAACCGGACTTTTAGGAATTCAGACTGGTCTTCAATGAATTGCTACAGGATATATTAAAGTTCACAATTGAATTGATTAAAATTTACCGGAATTAACTGAGATCCAAACGGAATTGATTTAATTCCAACCGAAATTACTTGAATATCATGTAAACTGTTCCGACTTTCAACCGGACTAACAACTAGGAATCCTAACCATATTTAATTGAATCGAATCACACAGCAATGAATTCGAACCGGAGTAAATGTATCTCTACCAGAATTTATTGAATCCCATCCAGAGCTATTTCTAAGAATTCCAACCATTTTTTTTTTTTTTTTGGCTTTATTTTAGAGATTTTTAGCCTGCGGCTAGTTCATCTCTTGAATTCCAACCAAACTTCAATGCAAGCCTGACTTTAGTGGATCTCAACGGCAATTCTTACCGCAATTGTTTGAGTTAGTACCGGAGTTGTATGAAAGCAGACTTCTTTTTTCTTGTTTCATCCGGTTTTCTTTGTATTCTAACCGAACTTCTATGAATTTAAACCGGTTTTCAATAAATTGCTCTAAGAAATATTTAAGTTCCCATTTGAATTGATTAAAATTAGCCGGAATTAACTGAGATTCAAAAAAAATTAAATGAACTACGACTGAAATGACTTAAATCTCATGCAAATCTGTTCCAACTTTCAACCAGACTAACTAATAGGATTTTTTATCGAATTTCATTGAAATCCAACCAGACTTAATTTAATTCAAATCATAGTGCTATGAATATTAACCGGAATTCATTGAACCACTACCAGGATTCATCTAATCTAGAGTTATGTCTGTGAATTCCAACCAAGCTTTAAAGCAAGCCTGAGGTTAGTGGATCTCAACGACAATACCTACCGCAATTGTTTGAGTTCCTTCCGGTATTGCGTGAAATCCAAGTGTATTTTTTTTTTCTAATTTCAATCTGATTTCTTTGAATTCCAACCGGACTTCTATGAATTCAAACCGGTCGTCAATGAATTGGTATTTTAAGTTCCCATTCAAATTGATTAAAATGAATCGGAAATAACTAAGATCCAAACGGAATTGATTGAATTCCAACAGGAATTATTTGAATATCATGTAAACTGTTCCAACTTTCAACCGGACTAACAACTAGGAATTCTAACCGAAGTTAATTCAAATCCAACCAGACTTCATTTAATTCAAATCATACAGCAAATAATTTCAACCGGAATTAATCGAATCTCTACCAGAGTTTATTGAAACCAATCCAAAGTTTATTCAAAGAATTCCAACCAAACTTCAATGCAAGCCTGACTTTAGTGGATCTCAACGGTAATTCTTACGACAATTATTTGAGTTGGTACCGGAAGTGTATGAAATTCAAGCAAAAAAAATGTTTTCTAATTTCAACCAGATTTCTTTTAATTTCAACCGGACTTTTATTAATTCAAACTGGTCTTCAATGAATTGCTACAGGAAATATTTGAATTCCCATTCAATTCAAACTAACCGGAATTTAGGGAGATCCAAAAAGAATTAAATGAACTACTACTGGAATGATTTAAATCTCATGCAAACTGTTCCAACTTTCAACCAGACTAACTAATAGGATTTCTAATGGAATTTCATTGAATCCAACCAGACTTAATTTAATTCAAATCAGACTGCTTAGAATTTTAACCGGTATTCATAGAACCACTACCAGAATTCATTGAATTCAATCTAGAGTTATGTCTGTGAATTCCAACCAAACTTCAAAGCAAGCCTGAGTTGAGTGGATCTCAGTGACAATTCCTACCACAATTGTTTGAGTTCCTTCCGGTATTGTGTGAAATCCAAGTGTACTTTTTTCAAATTTCAACCTGATTTCTTTGAATTACAACCGGACTTCTATGAATTTAAACCGGTTTTCAATAAATTGCTACAGGAAATATTTAAGTTCCCATTTGAATTTATTAAAACTAACCGGAATTAAGGGAGATCCAAACAGAATTAATTGAATTACAACTGCAATCATTGAATGTCATGCAAGCTGTTCCGACTTTCAACTGGACTAAATATGAATTCTAACCGAATTTAATTCAAATCCAACCAGACTTCATTTAATTCAAATCAGACAGCAAAGAATTTCAACCGGAATTAATCGAATCTCTACCAGAATTTATTAATTCCAATCCAAAGTTAATTTAAAGAATTCCAACCAAACTTCAATGCAAGCCTAACTTTAGTGGATCTCAACGGAAATTCTTACCGTAATTATTTGAGTTGTTATCGGAAGTGTATGAAATTCAAGCAAAAATGTATTCTAATTTCAACCTGATTTCTTTTAATTTCAACCGGACTTTTATTAATTCAAACTGGTCTTCAATGAATTGCTACAGGAAATATTTGAATTCCCATTCAATTCAAACTAATCGGAATTTAGGGAGATCCAAAAAGAATTAAATGAACTACTACTGGAATGATTTAAATCTAAATCTCATGCAAACTGTTCCAACTTTCAAGTTAGTCTAGTAGGATTTCTAATCGAATTTCATTGAATCCAACCAGACTTAATTTAATTCAAATCAGACTGCTAAGAATTTTAACCGGCATTCATAGAACCACTGCCAGAATTCATTGAATCCCATCTAGAGTTATGTCTGTGAATTCCAACCAAACTTCAGTGCAAGCCTGAATTTAAAGGATCTCAACGACAATTCCTACCACAATTGTTTGAGTTGCTACCGGAATTGTGTGAAATCCAAGTGTACTTTTTTTTTCAAATTTCAACCTGATTTCTTTGAATTCCAACCGGACTTCTATGCATTTAAACCGGTTTTCAATAAATTGCTACAGGAAATATTTAAGTTCTCATTTAAATTTAAAAGATCCAAACGGAAGTCATTGACTTCCAACAGGAATAATATAAATATCATGTAAATTGTTTCAACTTTCAATCGGACTAACAACTAGGAATTCTAACCGAATTTAATTGAAATCCAACCAGACTTCATTTAATTCGAATGAGATAGCAAAGAATTTCAACCGGAATGACTAGAATCTCGACCAGAATTCATTGAATCCCATCCACAGTTATTTCAAAGAATTCAAACCGGACTTTATTAATTCAAACTGGTCTTCAATGAATTGCTACAGGAAATATTTGATTTCCCATTTGAATTGATTAAAACTAACCGGAGTTAAATGAGATCCAAACGGAATTAAATGAATTACAACAGGAATCATTGAATTTCATGCAAACTGCTGGTCCGACTAGTTAACCGGAACAAGGAATTCTTACCAAATTTCATTGAATTCCAACCATACTTCATTTAATTCAAATCAGACTGCATAGAATTTCAACCGGAATTGATAAAATCTCTACCAGAATTCATTGAATCCCATCCAGAGTTATTGCTGTGAATTCCAACCAAACTTCAATGCAAGCCTGACTTAGTGGATTGCAACGGCAATTCCTACCACAATTGTTTGAGTTGCTACCGGAATTGAACGAAATCCAAGTGAACTTTTTTTTTTTAATTTCAACCGGACTTTTATAAATTCAAACCGGTTTTAATCGGTGATCACTTCATTAACCGAAATTCATTAAACTTCGAACTAACTAACTTTTCCAAATTTCAACCGGACATCTTTAAATTCGAACGAAATCTCTTGAATCCATTTCCAACCGGCAGCTTCTTTAAAAAGGCAGGGAACCAATTATGAACTACAAACATCGAAGTCTTCACTCCTTCAAGCCCCCCTCGAAGCGATCGAAATTCAATCGAAATAAGCTTCCCATATTGAACTGATGACGATGCAAATTTATTTTCCACGCCGCATACCCGATTGCGATGATGATAACAATCACTGCCGGGACGTCATCTCGCAGCATGGAATAGATTGCTACTGATTTTTTCCGCCACGCTCACAAAGGATCCGATCGAAACTGCACTGTCACCACCACTGTCCGTCAGCCGAGCAAATTGCATGGATCATCCAACCCATTTCACAGATCTCCCACCTGGACGAAGCGGTACGAGATTCTCTTGAACCCCCTCCGTTTCCCCTCAGTAAACGCAGCAAAAATGATGATGAATCATAACGATTCCCTCACTTGAATTGATGGTCGACGCGTGATTGGAAAATTAACCGTGAAATTCATTCCTTCTCCTCCCTAAAAAACCTCAAGGCTGACTGCCCTGGGACCCAGACTGAAGCCGATTCACCTTTTATATTAACAATATATATAAAATAAAATAGTATAATGGCAGCATCGCTGAACATACTTCTTTTCTAAGCGATCCGTGACTCGTTTCTCGGGCTCTCCCTCATCTTCAGTCGGGATGAACCTGAAATTGAGCGGAAATGGGTTTCATTGTTGTTCTTCTAAATCGATCTTATTTTTTTTTTTTTTTTTTTTGGCGCAAGATCTAACCCGTGTGCGGTCCGCGACTTTTCAATGCAAGCGCGAACGAAATTGATTCGAACTAGCGATAATCGAAGACCTGTGAATGGTTCAATTTTCAGGTCTATTAGGGTTAATTTTTGGTAATTGAATTTTTTTTAAGGGGTCACATTCCAGATTGGTCAAGGTATGGAACTTGTATGCGAGTTTTGGATAGAGGAAATTGCATAGAACATCATAGATCTAAATTGACCCATCAGAGACTCGTTCCCACCGAGCGACGACGATCAATCACACAAAAAAAGACCTTTTCCCATGTCACGATCGTCAGAATCCATTTCTCGACTCGACCAGATTTATTCCTACTTCCTCAATTAACGAGGGCATAAAAATTGGAAACACTTGTCATATTCTCATGGCTGTAAAAATATTTTCGTTTGCTACATTCCTCCTACCTATCGGATCGGACGGATCTCTCCTTGCGTCTTTTCAGTAAGTGACTTCAAAGCCACCAGTAGAGGTTAAAAAAAAAAGAAGATCAAAAGGATACGATAAATTCGAAACCACTTGACTTGACATGACTCACTTTCTCTTTCTCTCATTCCTTCATTGTAATCGCTTCTCATCTCTCTCCCTCGCAGTTCTCGTTTGACGGTGACCGATGGTGGGTTGAATATGCCTTTTCACCCTCGATAAAAATTGGTTTATTGGTTTTATATATTCCATTCGGCTTGGCCGATCTTCTTCCTCAATAAATTATTACCGTCGAAAGCCAAATGTTCCCCTGCACGCAATGTTCTGTTTTATAATCGAACGTCGTCGTCGTGTTGCAACATGTGCATGTCCTCGTCAGAACAAAGAGGTACCTCCTGACGCGCAGGGTGTCCGTTTTTTCCCCCTTATAATTGGAAGGATCCTTCGAAACAGGTGATTCCTTGCTAACCGAAAACATATAGGAAGACGCTCGAGAAAAGGCGCGAAATTCTCCGTTTCCCCCTTCGTTATGTTCATTTGTAACTGACAAAAATGTTCAAAAAAATACAACGTACGGATCTTACCAGTATGCAGGAAGAGGTGATTTTTCAGATTCGTCTGTTTGGAGAAGCCTCGCGAGCAGATGTGGCACTTGAACGGCCACGAACCGTTGTGGACGTACATGTGCGACTTGAGATCACCGGGCGTCGGGAAGGACTTGGAACAGAGGCTGCACTTGTGTGGTTTATCCTGTTGCGGGGGGAGAGAAGAGAACGAATGGGGTAAAATTAATGAATGTTCATTTAATTCAGATGAGATTAATTAATTTAAGCAGTTACAACATACACCTAAGAAATACGACAAAACAGTTCAGATCAGGGTTCTTGCTTTTTATTATTGCGTTTTGACATAGACTACGTCTTATGGGAAGGTACAGGGGGTAAATTGAAAGTATAAAATTTCAACCGTCACCAAAAGGTGTTAGGTGTTGAAAGCTTATAATTTTGTCATTTCTAGATGAATTTAAAATCCAAATACACCAATCGATAGGAAATAACTGTACAAATCTTATGACAAAAATATTTTTTCTAATTTTTCATAAAAAAATTACTTTTGAAAAACGTTCAAATTTTAAGTGAAAATTTTTTCCACTGTTTTCATAAAATAAACGTTTCTCCGAACCTCGATTATGACGAGTATGACTTAGTTGCGTGCGTCGATCTGCTTGAGCCTGTAACGTTATAAAAGAGCACTGCTTCCACGCCTCCGCTTATTTTCGAAACGGACTATGATGCATAACTATGATGCTCAATGTCAAAACATTTAACAGGCAAAAACCTGTGAAAGAGCTTTTTTTCTGCTTTAGAATTTGAACATCTCAATCCCCTTAAATTTCAATTAATTTCGTACTAAGCACCTACTTATTGGAAACCAAACGTTTGCTTTGAGAACAGTCACATCTACAATCAATGCACGAGAAGTTCCCTAAATAGCTTAACGTAGTCTACTTCAACCATGTGGTTGTGTCTTGTACCCAATCCCACTCATTTTTGTTTCATATCTATTTTCTCAAATGCCATTTGAGTCCACATGACTGGTCAATGTTTGTAATCCGGAATTTTATCCAATAAATTCGCGATTTTCCAAATTTCAATTTGTTTTCAACAATTGCTATAATTCATTATTGCGAATGACCAAAGCAGACGTATTCTGGAAGCGGAGTTTGGTGGGATGAATTTTATTATTAATCTAGCGTTCACAAGCATAAGCGCCTGACTGCAATGGTCGATTCTCTTCATCTATTTTCTTTTATGTTAATTTATCGGCTGAGTTAACATTTATCGGTGCTAAGTTATTGCTTTTGTTAACCAATACAGTAATTTACTACACTAAGTTTAATAAATTTCGGGAAATTATTTAGCTTAACTGCAATCATTCAAAGAAAATAAGACCAGAATCTAGGCCAAATAGGATACAAAATTAAAATTTAAGACTGGACCTTCTCCGATTTGCCTGAAACTTTGCTTAATTGTATGTAATGGGCAATCATTATAATTTCCGCAAAAAAAATCAGCCATTTTGAATATTGTATTTTTCAAAATGGCGTCTATGACATTTTTCAATAAACTGTAGCTCGAAAATGTCACTTCTGATTGAAATGACGTCTGATATAAAGTTGTTTAGAATAATTCAAAAATTCTTGGAAATCTATACAAGGTCATTTTGTTTAAGTAATTTTGAGAGAAAATTCTAAAAAAGTGTTAAAAACTGAAATATCTGAAAAGTATATCTTCAAAATTCATAATTAATTTTTCAAATAAAGCTCATGCAAAAAGGTCGAATGAAATTTTATGGAAATAAGAACAAATGGACAAATGGACGAATAGAAAAAAGGACGAATGAACCAAAGGACGAATGGACCAAAGGATGAATGGACAAAACGATGAATGGACAAAAGAACGAATAGAAAAAAGGACGAATGGACGAATGGACAAAAGGACGAATGGAGAAAAGGATTAATGGACAAATGGACGAGTGGACAAAAGGACAAAATTACGAATGACAAAAATACGAATGACCAAAATGTCAAATGAAAAATGGACAAAATTTCGAATGGACACAAATTTGAATGGACGAAATGTCGAAATCGACAAAAGGTAGAAGTGAAAAAAGAGTTGGATGGACAAAACGTCGAAGGGACAAAATATTAGAAAAGTAAATTTATTTTTAGTAGATCAAAGAATAAAAGTAGTAAAAAGTAAAATGTAAGATAGGACATAAATTATGTAAAGCAAGTAAATTAAGCAGAGGCTTTGAGTACGCAAACTGAAAATCTCGAAAGATATTTATTTCTCTCGGAGTTGACTCCTTCTTTAAGATATGCGCAGTTCTTCGAACGACAAAAATTATTGAACCAGCCAGCTGAAAATGATTATTAAGAAATAAGAGTTATTTCTCAATCTTGAAGTTGACTCTTTCCTTATAACATGAGCAGTTCTTTGAAGCTATTGAACACTCCAGCTTAAAATGCTTGAAAGTTATTCCATGCACTTGGAGTTATCTCCTTCTTTTCAACGTGATCACCCAAGTAACAATTTGGGTTTCATGAAGATTCTGTAGACCATGATTTGAACTTGTAGAATGCTTTAAACCCTTGATAAAACTTGCAATGTTACTTGGGCAATTGTTTTAAAGATAAATGCTACTGAACACTCCAACTAAAAGTGGTTAAAAGTTGCATCGATCTTGTGTCCTTTTCGTCATTTTGTCCAGTCGACTAATTTGTACATTAGAATTTTTGTTACTTGGTCCATTTGACCTTTGTCCCATTAATACCCTTTAAACCATTTCTACAATCGACCATTTGTCTGTCCCTTTGTCCATTTTGACCTTTTGTCATTCGACCTTTTGTCCCTATAAATAAAATTCGACCTTTTGTCCATTTCGACATTTGTCCACTTTGACCTTATGTCCATTTCAACCTTTTGTCATTTTACCCTTTTATGTATTCGACATTTTGACCAATCGACCTTTTGTCCTTTCAACCTGTTCTCTATTTTGAGCTTTTGTCCTTTTCAACTTTTTGTTCTTTTCAATCTTTTGTTGAATGACAAAAGGTCGAAAAATAAATGGTCGAAAGACAGTTGGAAACAGTGCTCATAAAATCATACACTCATACACTCAACACATTGTACCCCTTCCTTTCTTGACCTGTGTTCGGGCGCGGCCGGCGCTGGTATTGCCTAGTTTGAGATCACCAGTTTTTACACATTGAGGATGATTGCTAGTCCCAAGCATCGTCTATTGGTTCTCTGTGTTATTACAGCTGGTCTGGCAATAACAGAGAAGCAACCGTGGGCGGTCAATCATGCTTATGCTCATGCTCAATCTTTTGTTGAAAGACAAAAGGACGAATACATTTGGAAGCAGTGCTGATATAAATCATTTCTTCTACACTCAACATAGCTGTAAATAAAGACAACCTTAACAGATAGACCAACTATGTACTTGATCAAGGCAACCTCTGAGTATCGTAGTCAATATTTGTTTTTCTTCATTCGTGGCTGGATGTTCATTATCACCTCTGTTGTTGTCAATATTAATATTCGTCTTTATCTTGGTGGGGATGATTTTGAGGATCAAATGCAAAATGATTATTTTAATTTTACGCAAATATAGCTCAGCGTGATGGGTTGGTCTTTACACACAGATTGATGGCAAATTATTACCTCATGCTGAGATGATGATAATATCTAGGCTTCAGGCTCTGGGGTCTTATTATTCAAAATTATCATTTTACTCAAAATGAATTTGATTATTTTGCTGTTGAGGATCGCTTCTGATTTTGACAATTAAAGGTTGGCTAATCAAACACGGGTGTATTTGTTGATGTATAATGAACTCATTTGTTCATTTCGATTGTACGTAACAGCGAAAATCTTCAAAACAAACGTAATTCATCTACACTGGGTTGAAGCGCTACTCCTTGCTTGTGATGGTAAATGATAAAAACAGACACTGGTTGCAAGACAAAAGATCGAAAGACAAAAGGTTGAAAGACACAAGGTCGAAAGACACAAGGTCGAAAGACACAAGGTCGAAAGACACAAGGTCGAAAGACAAAAGGTTGAAAGATAAAATGTCGAAAGACAAAAGATCGGAAGACAAAAGGTCGAAAGACAAAAGTTCGAAAGACAAAATGTCGAAAGACAAAATGTTGAAAGACAATATGTCGAAAGACAAAAGGTCGAAAGACAAAAGGTCGAAAGACAAAATCTTCTTCTTTCCTTTATTTAACGTCGGTCTCTGTTCCGCAATCTAGTGCCAATCACCGACGGACATCGATTGCCATCCATTGACGGCAATCGAATGTGCAGGAAGGCAGCTTCCACACCTGCGTAGGATATCGCACCCATTCAACACACATGGGCCGGGACCAACGGCTTCACTTCCCTTCCGAAGGAAGACGTGACCAGAGATTTTTATGAATCAGAAAAATCCCACCGACCTTGACTGGGATTGAACCCAGACCCATCGGGATGTTAGAAAGCAGTCACGCTTACCACTAAACCACCGGCACCGGCGAAAGACAAAATGTTGAAAGACAAAAGGTCGAAAGACAAAAGGTCGAAAGACAAAACGTCGAAAGACAAAATATCGAAAGACAAAATGTCGAAAGACAAAAGATCGGAAGACAAAATGTCGAAAGACAAAAGGTCGAAAGACAAAAGGTCGAAAGTCAAAAGGTCGAAAGACAAAAGGTCGAAAGACAAAAGGTCAAAAAGCCAAAAACTAATGTAAATATTCTTCAACTGATTTGTCATCGTGTTATACTATTTTTCTTTCTTTGAAAGCTCGTTCTTAAAAATTATATAATAATTGTTCATTTAATAAAAATTACAACCTATTAAATAAACCCCTTACTTCGATCATGCGTCCATTTCAACCTTTTGTCAATAGTCCCTATTAACCATTCGATATATTGAGCATTAGACCTTTTGTCCCTTCAACCTTTTCTCCATTTAGAGCTTTTGTTCGTTTCGACCTTTTGTTATCTTCAATCTTTTGTCATTCGAACTTTTTGTCCATATCGACATTTTGCCCCTTAGACCTTTTAGCCATTTGACCTTTTGTCATAGGTTTGAACTAAATTGGTAGGTCATTATCATTTCATTTCGATTTACAAAGCACTTGTTCTGATCCTAAGAAGTATAGTCTCTTCTCTCAACATTTCAGGAGGTCAATCAATGACAAATAGACGTCACCAAACCAAGTTAGGGTATTAAATCCGAAAGCGACTTTGAGTTTAATACGTGTCAGCGGTTTGGGGACAAAAGGTGGAAAGACAGAAGATCAAAAGGACAAAAGGTCTAAAAATAATACGTTCTTAGACAAAAGAATTTCTTCAAGATTGGGATTCCAAATTTCCTTAACTTTCTTGGAGCTTACAAACTTGTTCTGGTGTTCTTAATTATTTATTTTTTTCGGTTTGCTCTTTTCAACAGTAAACAGTTCATTGCAATCATTCCGTTAAAAGTGATCAGTTTCCTTCTGTCTAACCCGCAATTCCAAACCATAACACTTTCCATTCTCCGACGATTAAATCACACTTGATGCTTTGATCAGTACCGTCCGTAACACTTTTGCTGGTAGCCTCAGGTGTCTCCGCCAAAAAAACGCAAACCGAATCAAAATTAATCATTTCAACCTGACTAAACCACCCACTCACATGTCACACCTCCTTTTTCTCTCCCGATTCAAATCAGTTTCAAAGCTAATATAGATGTAGAAAAATTCACCAACAATCACCTAAAACTGTGCTCATTTCTCACGTGACCAGCACCGCAACCCTGACACTGATTGATGGTTGTTCCACCCGAATTTTCGCTCGCACCAAACACTCACCTTAATGTGCGTCATCCGATGGTAGTATAGATTGGAACTGGCCGTGAACCGCTTGCCGCACACCTGACACTGGTGTGGCTTTTCGCCGCTGTGGATCCTCACGTGGGTGTTCAGCGAGCTGGACGTGCTGAAACCCTTCCCGCAGACTCCGCACACGTGCGGCTTTTCACCGGTGTGCGTTCGCATGTGCCTCTTCAGTAGACTAGGACGATCGAAGGCCTTGCCACACACCTCACAGGGGAGCATCGCCCGTTCGCCTCGCGAGGGTCGAGCTTTCGGGGAACTGCGGGGCACCTGGATTGGACAGCTGTCCAGATCGCCACCGCTCGTACTCGCTCCCGATGAAATCGAAATCGAACTATCACCGGACACGGACTTGCGCTCGTCCTCCGTGCCGGACGGGGGTGAGATCGGGAGCATTACCCGCGACAGCAGGGACGTGGACAGGTCTAGCGGGGAATCTGCATAGGGGGGAAGAATCAAAGTACGAGGAGGAATTAATTACTGGATGATTAGTGGATGCATTTCTCGTAGCTTACCTTCCAGTATCGAATCCATCGTCTGCCGGTAGAGCTGACTTCGCATTCGGATGAAAAACAGCTCTTCCGGTCCTTCGGGCAGGTAGTAAACCACCAGCTCCTGATGGGAGGGGATCGGTTTCACAATCTCGTAAATCGGTTCACCTTTCACCTTGGCGCAGACGACGTTCACCTGGGGCCCGTACGTTTCCGACACCCGCAGGAACCGAATCCAGTTGCAGTGGCGAACCCTCCGCCCGTTGACGGTGGTGATCTCGTCGTACAGTCCAAACCGGTGGCGAATCTGGAAGGAAGGTTGGGGAAAACGAGACAAAGCGATCTGATTAGGAATGGGCGACGAAAACATGCAACCTAATGGGAGCTCATAAATTGAGATGTACTTTTCCGAACGGTTCGAACAGACTGGGCTTGTCATCCAGGAGTTGAAATTTATAGGCTGATTTTTCTCCCCTATATGTGCTCTCGTTTGCATGTTCGAAAAAGGGAGCAATAGATGCTAAGGGAAAGCATCGCGACACACGCGACACGGAAAAATCGCTACATTCAATTCAAATTTCGCTGTTTTGCGACGCGATCGCTATGCTGCGATCGAACACGCAAATGGGCACGAATATGTTAATGACTGTCTCCTAGATCCGTAGAACTTTCCAACTCCCATTTGACGTGAAGATCGATCCAAGTGCTGCTGACAAGCCGTGTCAACAAATACTGCATCAAGTGACGACAAGTGTGTGCGCCCGGTCCTCCCTCCCGGTGCGGGTACAATTTAACGGTCCGCTGAATGGCACTTGTTTGGACAACAATAAAAAAAAACAAGAACTGAACAACGCTCGACGGTAAAGTGCAGTCTGACAGCACCTGAGGTGGTGGGCTTTCCCCCTCCACCTAGACGTGACTTATGAAACACGAAACGAACGAGCGCCACCGGAGCGTAAAACCACAGCCCAACATCAACTCGCCGCGACGACGACGACGACGACGACGACGGGCGGTGATGGTGATGAAGTAATTTGTTAGGAAAAGTGTAAACTTTTCTTTCCGGTGGGGGAACTCTACCGAATGGTTTTGATTGCTATTAGCGAGGCGCCGTGGGTATAACATGAGATAGAGAGAGGGAACAATATGGGTGATAAGTGGGTGTGAAATTTTCTGGCTTCGGTTCGTTGAACAAGGGGGAGGTGTGGTCATGATCATTTATGTAAACATGGATAGTTAAACTAATTAGAAGCATTTATTTTCAAATGGGGGTCATGATGGATTAGCAGGGAAATGGAATGTTGTCTGATTGGATGCAGGATTCCAAATGCGATCAAGTAATGAAGAGACTTCAACACTCAGGTTCGTTGCTTAAAGATTTTGATCAAATCGAAAATCTGTTGTATCTTCTAACATAAAGTAGTTTGTTAAAAACAAGGCATTTTTTGCCCTGTTGGGTATTTTGATCACTGCTACCGAAATTTAGATCTATTGTGATATATTCTCCGTTTTAATATTGCTTTATCAGCATGTCGCATCACGATTTTATGAAGCGACCTAGGTCAGGTATTACATTTCGAATGAATTGCACTACTTGGCTGGGAACTGAATTCCAAATAGCAAAGGGTTCTGTCAGCCCCTTATCCAGAAAAATACGCCTCTTATTGAAAATTGCTGTACAAGAGCATAGCAGGTGTTCAGAGTCTTCTTTTTCTATGCCACATAATCGACACATGTCCTCTTGAAGTTTTCCTATTAGCTTCAAGTGATATTTACATGGACAGTGTCCTGCTATTTATTTATTTATTTTATTAACATATCTAGGTAAATCAAAAAATAAAAACTAAAAATAAAATACATAAATAAAACACACAATCATTCACGGTTAACTGTGCCAGAAAAAAACGATCAGAAGTATCTTCGTAGCAGCTGTTGAGGCATATGGAAATCGAAGATGCCCGAGACTCGATTGAACACTCGTTGCAGCCCACCTATTGCACCGTTCATGCCATAGTTTGTGCGCTGAAGTGGCAATCTCAGCATAACGTTGTAACGTAGCGCACGGGGTTGGACGTTAATGTTGACGTGCCCCAAGATTGCACTGCAATCAATTCTACCTTGTAAAGTGTCCGCAATGAACAGGGCCCTAGAGGTGTCTCTTCTAGTTCGGAGAGGCTCCAGATCAATCAGCTGGCAACGACTTTCATAGCTGGGCAGATGAAATGGGTCTCTCCAAGGCAGCTTCCGCAGAGCGAATCGAAGAAAATGGCGTTGAACGGACTCAACTCTCTCAGCACCATTGTTGTAATTTGGACTCCAGACCACAGAACAATATTCCAGAATTGATCGCACCAAGGAACAGTACAGTGACTTCAAACAGTAGATATCGGAGAAATTCTTTGCTATCCTGAAGATAAATCCCAATGTCCTAGACGCCTTGTCGACAACGTACGAGATGTGCTGCTTATACGTAAGTTGAGAATCCAGAATAACACCCAGACCTTTCACATGGTTCACACGGTCGATTACAGTGCCGATAAGTTTGTATTCAAATGTGATTGGTTTTTTCTTCCGAGTAAAAGTGTTCACTGAACACTTAGTGGGGTTAACCACCATTCGGTTCAAATTACACCAGCTGGCAAAGGCATCAAACTGACGTTGAAGGAAGTGACAGTCATCAATCGAGTGGATTCGTAGGTAGATTTTAAGATCGTCTGCATACGATAGTCGTGGGCCTTCGATGACCAAGTTCACGTCATTGAAGTAGAGTAAGAAAATCAAAGGTCCCAGGTGACTTCCTTGAGGTATTCCTGACGTAGCTAGATAGCTATTGGACCGGTTGTCACCAATGGCAACCATCAGTTGCCGATCAGTGAGATATGAACGAAACCATCGCAAGAGGTTGCCGCTGACCCCAAGTCTATGCAACTTGGAAATCGCGATGGCATGGTTTAGCTTATCGAAGGCAGCTGACAAGTCGGTGTATATGACGTCTGTTTGAGTCCTCTATGCCATGCTTTCCGTAAGATACGATGTCAAACACAGCAGATTTGTGGAAGTAGAACGACCGGAAGTGAAGCCGTGTTGATCACCACTTAGATACTGCTTACAATGAGAGAGTAGAGGCTCCATGATGACTAACTCGAATAACTTCGAAACTGCACTCAACGACGTAATTCCACGATAATTGTCCACATCCCGTTTGCTGCCCTTTTTGTGGATAGGAAACATATGTGCGAATTTCCAACAAGATGGAAATGTACCACTCGAGATGGACAATCGAAATAGGTGAAGCATGGGCATCAGCAAGCTGGCGATATGCTTTTTCAGGAATACGGATGGAACGCCATCGGGTCCTGGATTGAAGGACGACTTGAGTTGTGATGCGGCAGTGGAAATCATCTCGACGTTGACATCCATCGCACCCAGTGTTTGCCCGTACAGTGGAACATTACTAGCTGCTAGGGTAACGTGTTCGTCAGTTAATCTCTCATTCGTGAAAACACTGGCGAACTTCTTAGAAAACAAGCGACAGATCTGCTGAGGAGTGGAAGCAACTGCTCCATTCACCAGCATTGAAGAAGGTAGGCCGGATTGCTTGCGCTGCTCATTTACGTAATTCCAGAATGACTTCGGGTGCGACTTGAGTTTCCTCTGAATCCCTCGTTGATATCGCGAATAGAATCGACGGCTAACTCGCTTGAACTCATAATTGAGCCTAACTTAGTGACGTTTCAGCGAAAGCATACGATACTTAGTGAATTTTCTTAATGAGGCTCTCTTGGTCGACTTCAACCTACGCAGTTCACTCGTCTGCCAGGGAGGATGACGGTGAACTCTTTTCGGAACGTGCCTGTCAATGACATAAGCCAAGACATGTGAAAATGTTTGCGCAGTGGTTTCAACATTGTCAGGATCGAGGATGCTCTCCCAATCTATACTAGATAGCACGTTGACGATACTACGGTGATCGGCTTTCCGGAAATCGTATGACACGGTCGTGGAAATGTCGTCAATGACCCGATCGTGGTTGTCAGCAACAGTGACAACCAAGGGAGGGTGATGATGTACTTGCTTTCCTAGTGGAGAAGGTGCCGTGGAGATGAAAGGAGCGGTGTCCTGAACGCCAACGAAGCAGAGGTCCAGGCTACGGTTGTTTTCGTTGACTACGCGGTTTATTTGAGATAGTGTTGCTGTACTATAGCAGTCGTGAAGGCTAACTGATCCTGTATGAAATACAGAGTGTAGAGAAAGCCGCTGTGAGATGGTTTCCAGGAAACGCCGGGTAGATTGAAGTCACCCAGAACGATTATCTCATCAGTTGGTGTCGCATTCTCCATTATGGTGAAAACGGACCGGCAATGGGTTTCGATAAGTTCGTTGTCACGAACCCGGTCAGGTGCAATATACACCGCACATAGGTACAGTGTGCGATCGCTCAGTTCTACGACCACACAAACTTGTTCCACACAGTTCCACAAGACGTTTTCAATAGCTCTCGCCTTTAACCCGGAACGAACTGCCACGAGAACACCACCTCCAGTAGATTTCCGACTGTTTTTCGGATTTCTGTCACAGCGGAAAACCTCGTATTCGGACCCGAACACCTGGATGTAAAGCGTTCGAGAATCGAGCCAAGTCTCGACAAAAACGATTACATCGTAGCACCGGTCCGATACAACTAGGTGGTAGTCAAGAACATCAGAATTCATTCCGCGTACGTTTTGGTAGTAGAAAATGACGTCGTGTTTACTACGGTCGGTGGTCGCACGAGGTAAGGCGTTTTCCCTGGAAGTCATGGAAACATCAGGTGGCGAATGGACATGAACAATCTCAAGTGGATACTCGCCGTACTGAGTAGGTTGGAAGACCCCCTCTCCACATCCAACAACGACTATGAAGATCGGAGGGATTGGGGGCTTCCACAATACTTTCTACAGCGCGTCCCAGGTTCCAATTAACAGGAGTAGAAGCATTTCCTCGATCGGAGACACCCAGAGTGCTGAAATTCAACTCGTGTGAGATCTTTCTTTGGTAGTTCAAGAATTTTGCTAGTCATTGAAATGCTCGGATTAATAAACCGTTTCGACTGCCTAACAATGAGGGTGTTGTTCCAATTGGTCTACACTTTCATTTTTTCCCATTTCTTGAACTCCATTCAAAAAGAGCAAACAGAAACTCCACAGAATGGTTCTGGTCCTATAAATTGTTGAGATGATCCAGGCCTAGCTAGTGTGTCGGCTTTCTAATTCCCTTGAATTCCGCAGTGACCAGGAACCCAAAATAGGTTCACTTGGTTTTGGCAGG